CTTGATACCAAGTCCCCCTTCCTTCTTGGGCAATGCCACATGTTCCCAGGCCACTTTAGCCTTCCCAGTATCAGTTCCATGCCAGAGGAAAAGAGAGCAAACCTTCTGAATCCTCTTCAAAGCCTTTTTTGGGATCAAAAACAGCTGCATCCAATACTGGACAATCCCCATCAATACTGAAGTCACAAGCTGCAATCTTCCTGCATAAGTCAGTTTCTTTGCCCTCCATGTTTTAATCCTCTTAGTAAGTCTATCAACCAAAATGTCTATCTCTTTTGAAGACAATTTCCCAGTCATCAGTGGAAGTCCCAAGTACCTTACGGGTAGTAGGCCTTCCTGAAACCCAGACTGAAGTAGAGCATTGCCTTTATATTTTATAGATTCACCTCCAAAATAGACCTCACACTTGGCTGGATTACAATTGAGCCCTGATATCTTATAGAACTGTTGCAACACACTTTTAACTTGAAGAAGAGCCTGAGTTGAACCAGTGGTAAAAACCAGAACATCATCTGCAAAACACATGTGGTTTAATCCAATTCTTCGACATTGAGGATGATAGGGTATCCTCCCTGATTGGCTGGCAGCTATTAACATGGAAGAGAGACCTTCCATAGCAATAGTGAACAAATAAGGTGATAATGGATCACCTTGTCTAACACCCTTTCTAGCCCTAAAGAAACCACAGAGACCTCCATTTATATTGATACTATAGTGAGCAGTTTGTAAGCAAGCCCTAATCCACCTCATAAACTTATCAGGGAACCCCATTGCTACCATCATATGAAATAGATAGTTCCAACTAACAGAGTCAAAGGCTTTCATAATGTCTATTTTAATTTCACATCTAGAAGATAAAGCACTCCTGTTATACCCACTAACTAACTCCTGAGCCATCAAAATATTATCCATGATGCTTCTTCCCCTAACAAAAGCTGATTGATTAGTGCTAATTATCAGGGCCATAACCTCACTAATCCTCCTAGCAAGAATTTTTGCCATTATCTTGTATAACAGGTTTACACATGAGATAGGTCTAAAATTCTTAAGGTTATCAGCATTCAAAACCTTAGGAACTAAGGAAACAGCAGTGGCATTGATTCCACTAGGCAGATTACCTGTTTGGAAGAAGTAGAGGACTCCTCTTGTCACATCATCACCAATAACTGACCAAGCTCTTTTATAAAAACCCGCAGAAAAGCCATCTGGCCCTGGAGCTTTCTGAGTGTTCAGATTAAAAACCACCTGCCTCACCTCTTCTGCTGTGACACCTTTGACAAGATTTTCACAATCAGATGCTGGGATGTGGTGACGAACGAGGTGAGCTATATCATCCTTCTCAGGTCTAATCTCTAAATTTGCTTCCCCCAGTAGCTTTTTATAGAAACAGACAACTTCATCAACAATTTGCTCAGACTGGTATAGCTCTTCTCCTGATTCTTTAACCAATTTTCTAATAGCCCTCTTAGAGTTATGTATCTTTATTGGCTGATGAAAGAAGTGAGAACTCTGATCCCCTACTGACAACCAAGAGACTCTGGATTTTTGCCAGACAAAGCTTTCATATGCCTTAGATATTTGATCATACTGGTCCTTTGCTAGTGTGACAGCCTCAAAGTTTGCAGAGGAAGGATCTGAAAAAGCCCTAACCTGAGCCCTGGTCAACTCAACCTCACTTTCTTTGACCTTGTCCTGTAAGTTACCATAAACGTCTCTATTAAACTTCTTAAGTGCCTGTTTTACCCGAGCTAATTTCCCCTGTATAACTTGCAAAGGGTTACCCACCACCTCTCCATTCCAAGCCTCAGCCACTATGTCCAAGAAACTCGGATGGTCTGCCCAGAATTCAAAGTATCGAAATGGTTTGGGCAGAGACTTAACTGGGGCAGTAGTACAAACTTTAATACCACAGTGATCTGATAGGTGTGAAGTAATAGCCTCCATAGTGCAATTCTCAAAATACTCAATCCACTCAAGATTTACCAACCCTCTATCTATTTTCCTAGCAATAGGCTGATTAGTCTGCCTGTTAGTCCACGTGAATTGTGGGCCAGTAGTTTTAAAATCCATCAATTCCATCTCTTCAATCCACTTGTTAAAGTCACTCATACTCTGATTAGAGGATCTCATATTAGAGGTCTCCTGGGGAAAACGAACAGTATTAAAATCTCCTCCAACAATCCAGGGATGACCAGTTATTTGTAATTGAGCAAGCTCCTTGTAAGTGCTCAGTCTCTCTGATTCAGTATTAGATGCATAGACTGCTGTAAGGAAAAATCTATCCCTATTCACATCTTCAACTACACAATGCAAGAAATTCTTCCCAGGTTTGAGTATCTTGACTTTAATGGTCGGATCCCAGAAAAGCCAAACTCTCCCTAACTTTGAGTCAGAACAATGCAGACATTTCTCCCAACCAGCAAATACCCCCTCCACTACTTCCTCAGCTTTAGCAGCTTGAATTCTGGTTTCTAATATAGCAACTACATCTACCTTATTCCTACGCAGGACTCTTAACAAGTCCCTTTGCTTAGAGGGCTTATTTAGCCCCCTAACATTCCAAAAGAGTAGTATCATTTCGAAGTTGGGGGTTTCCCCCCACCCTTCTTCACATCCTTTTTAACCTCTTTCTTTCTGGGAGCATCCTGAATCTTATCTTCCTCCTTATCTCCAATTTTCCCCAACACACTAAAAGCTGAGTTAGATGCAGGTATGCCTTTTGAACTCCCTGAAGATATCCATACTCTAGGCTTGGCACCATTCACTACTCTCGGGAACTCGTCCTCAGAAGGCAACTTAGGTGAAGAAGAGGTGGCTAACTCTTGGAAAGACTGTTCAAGATTTTGAGGAGCCCCCTCCCATCACCACTGGACTAGCAAATATAGCTGACAGTTGCGGATCATCTTCATACACTACCACTTCCTTACCCTTATCATTAGTAGCCTGCTCCACAGCACACTTTTCCTGAACCATTTCACCCATGGAAGATTCTTGAACCCCAGAAGACACAGCTTGCACCACCTGCACCGGTTTTGCCACCCATTGCTTGTCTTGATGCACAGCACATGATCCTGAAGTTCCAAATAGATGACATACCTTACAGACTAGAGGCAGGTTGCAATAGGTGACCCCAATCCGAATTGATGAATCTTCATCTGGCCACAAGAGAATATGATCAGGGCATTCACTATCCACAGTAAGTTCCACTAGTACTTTTGCAAACCCATGCCTGTCTCCCATTCGAGTAGTATGGTCCATTCCCAACGGCACTCCAATCCAACTTGATATCCTGCTTAAACCTTGAAAATCATTATACTCCAAGGGCACATTATCCAAATTAACCCAGATCGACAACGCCTTCCTGCCTAATTCCTCGACACTGATACCAGGTACCCAAGGCCGAAGATAGAGTAGGTTATTGTACCAGAACCAGGGACCATTCTCCATTATCCATTCACACACCTTTTGGTTGGGCAATTGAATCAACAGCATCTTATCATACAGCAGAGAAACCCTCACCAGACCATCCCTGCCCCAAAGCTTGTTGGCCCAGCGTCTCAGAACGTGCAGCGACGGAGGGTCCTGAAGAAATTGCCCAACAAGGCAGTTCTTCCAACGAGCTGCTCCCGCCTCCCGAACCGCTTTTGGCATTCGTAAACCTCCATTGACCACTTCCGGCTGTATATAGGTGAGTCGATTGGCTTCAGAGATCCCAAATAGTGAGGCCCAGGGTTTCGTCGGAATTCCCCGAGGGTCACTACCTAGTTTCTCTGCCTCCAAGGATGGAATCGCAGTACTACCGTCACTCATAAGAACAGAATAAGAGGGGAAAAGAGAAGGCTGCTCCGGCGCAGATGCCGGAGCCGGCGACGAGGCGATGCGAAACCCTCAGTCACCTGAAATCGCACTCTCTCTCTACTCTCTCTCTGCCTGAAATCGCACTTTCTTAAAAACAGAAACAGAAACAAAAATTAAAAAAAGAAAGACGCCCGCTTTTTTTCTTTCGTATTGCCAAGGAGGGAAAATATGAATTAACCCACTAGTGGACACGAGAAAGAACCTGACGGAAGCAGCAAACTGTTCCAACACTTTGACAACACATTAAGATGGCAAAATAACTCCTCACCATCTTACCCTATTGATCAGAATCAATTCTATTGGTGGTGCGACTTTTTATTTTATATATTTACAGTGAATCCACTCGGATATGCTTATAACTATGTGCTACACTCGTTCACTTTAACACGCCGTTCATTCATATCTCTAAAATATTATAATTATCTCTTAGATCTCAAATTATGTTCATTTCCTCTCAATTTTACAAATAATATGACAAAAGAAACATCATTTTACATTGACATTTGAAGAAAATCTTTATATTATATCAAAAACCTCATACATTATTGTTCGGGATGTTGCGTGTGGGTTTTCCCCAAACCACATGCTAGTTGATTTTGGTATGAACATATTACATCTCCGCACATATTTGGTTACTACGATTTTTAAATTGTGGTTCATAGATGGTATATATGAAAACCGGCCCAACCTGTACATTTTGTCGTCTCTAGAGCATAGTAACACCTAGGATGAAGATTTTACCTAAACTCATGGATATTTTTTTATCCAACCCAAATAAAAGGTAAATGGATAGAGTTTGATGAGTGTATACTCGGGTTAATTGCATGGTTGGTCACTGAGATTATCAAAAAATGTTCAAGTTTGGTCACTCGAAATATTTAAATCCATTGGTGGTACTTCAATTTACTAAAACCATTCACGTTTGGTCACTCTCCGTCCAACTCCGTTAACTTTGACTGATGTGGCAGTCAATTCTCAAAGTTGATCGTTAACTTAGTGACGTGGTAATTAAGAAATAATTAATAAAATACAATTTAATCTATTTTAAAGTCCAACTCATTTAGCATAAAGTAAGTAAAATACAAAAATATTAGAATTATTGATTACCAACCCAACAAAGTGAAGCTCAGCATCTCGAGTGGATGGTGATGATGGAGCATCGTTCGTGGTGGCCTTCGCTTCGTTCGTTCGGTCCGGAGTCTTTGGCTTGCCATCAAACTTCCACTTCATTCCTCAAGTATACTCTCGGCACTAGCGATGATGATGACCTGATCGATGCTGGGCGAGAGTTGCCCGATGATGGCGGCGGCCATGGCGACGTCGTGGACAACAGTTTTAGCTTTGCTGCAGCATAAAATAAAAAATAACTAACTCGACATAAAACGAGGGCACCTTCTTCTTCCTACGCCTTTCATTCAATACTTGATTATTCCTTGTCCAAAACGGCAAAGGAAAAAGAAAACCATACCCTTCTCAAAATCCCAACCCTTTTAATCGCCGGCGGCCATGTATCCCCCAGCCTTGTCCAGACCAACTCCCGCCCCGACGACGACGCCGAACCAGCTGAGCACGATGATGATACACCACCACCACCAACCGGCCGGAAAATCCAACACAACGTCTTACAACCTCATCAAGGAGATGAAAACCAAGGGCGCCACCGATGTTTGCCACAGCGACGCCAAGTGCAGGGAGAAGTTCAACCTCCTGCTCGCGGAAATTGGCTTCCCCGGTCGCGTGCTACTTGCTACTGTCGAGGAGATTGAGGAATGCGGGCACATTAAAGAAACAGGGTTGGTGTGTCTGAAGCACAAGAAGACGAAGGATCACTACAAGTTCAACACCGTCGACGTCTGCTGTGACGTCGTCGTGACGGCGTCTTTCGAGCGGCGGAGGATCAGGAACCTGAGTGGGGTCAAGGCTAATTTATTTATCTTAATCGCTAATTTATTTATTTTACTGTGAGTTGGACATTAAAATAAATTTTATTTTATTTTATTTATTATTTTTTAATTGCCAAGTCACTAAGTTAACGGTCAACTTTGAGAATTGACTGCCACCTCAGCCAAAGTTAACGGAGTTGGACGGAGAGTGACCAAACGTGAACGGTTTCAGTAAAATGAAGTACCACTAATGGATTTAAGTATTTCGAGTGACCAAACTTGAACATTTTTTTTAATCTCAGTGACCAACCATGCAATTAACACGTGTATACTCATACTCATTTACTTGGGTTGGGTAGGGTTTGTAATTCATGGATATAGTTCATACCCAAACACATGCAAATTATATTTTGGTACCTAAACTTAATATTTATATTCATATATGTCCAAAAAATGTCCATGGAAATTACATTTTTAGTACCTGAAGATTTTATTTTACATTTTGATACCTAAACTTTTAAATTTACAAATAGGTCCAATTTTGTGTGTGGTTAAAACAATCTCAAGTAAATGGGCATTTATATCAAACGAATGCCCATTTAGAGTATTTTTTTTATTTCCGAGTGATATCAAGAGGGTACAAGAGTTATACAAACAAAACCACCCAGGAACCCCTACAAGTGACACCCTAATGAAGCCACCCCAATAGCTGAACGACTAACTCTACGACTGACAAAAGCAGTGCTTTAGGCGCCACTCTATGGGCAGCACTATAGGCGGCTCTAGGAACCGCCCTAAACTATATACAGACTGACAAAGAGTCTACGATCTGACGACACTCCCAGAGCATCGGACCTACAAATGAATCTTCTAGGAAATCATGACGGATAGCTCGGAACTCTGACAGGTAGGGGTAGACTACTCAATGGTGACGCATATCGACTGCCAGCACCACCTGCCCGTCTGAACCACGGATAGAAAAACCAAACGAGAACCCTGAGTCACGAACATCTTCATCGAACTTTATCTTCAAATATTAATCTGATGGAGGCTCCCAAGTGGCTGGAGGAGGAATTTGAAGGAGAGATCTGGGGGGGAAAGGGGCGGAGGAGGGGGTGAATATTGGAGACTTCGCGGACCAGGTTATAGAATTGTCTGGTGAGGGACGGACATGAGGTTGGTAGGATTCAAAAACCACTTTATTTCTAAACTTCGAGATTCTCCAAAGTAACCAGGAGCATTGGAGAGCGTGGAATGGGGAGATCTCAGAGATCATGACATGTCGCCACCATAGACTACAGTTGACAGTCGGGGCGAAATCAATGAAGTCGCTCAATCCCACTAAGGTCCACAACGTGGTGGCTAGGGGGCATATGAAGAATATAAGTGTTCAATGCTCTCTCGATTGTCGCCAGCCCATGATACATCGATTGAGGCAATTAACTCCACGTGTTTGTACAGTTGCCAGTATTGTAAGAATGACCTTGAGGCATTGCCTTATGAAGACTGACCTTGAGGAATTAAGTTCACGAGGAGTTAAACTCCCCTACATCAAATTGTAACATCCAAAAGTCAAAACCCAAAAATTCAATTGTCTTTAACTAATATGGCGGTTACCAACGAGGCTTCAAAGAAAGCCCAAATTTAAAATAGGAAACTTAATTGTTCATCAGTACTTGGAGATAATTAAACTTGTGCAGTCGTGCTATTAATAAATTAATTAACACCACAACGAACGTATGAGTCATTAAATGCATCTGGTAACCGCCAAAAAGCCAATGAAGATTACCAGAAGATTGCTCTGATCACACCAACATCTTCACGGCGGCCACCCTGGTTGAACACCGACAGCCAGCACACGGAGTTCCATAGTGATAAACTGGTTCTCTCTCCGCTTTTGGGTTACTTTCATAATCTCATGCCTAAAGTACTCTTCACAATTAGAAGGTTAATTTCATAAGAGAGTTGTGGTCGAGGAGAGGAGTTTGCACCACAGATACTTTCTATCCCACAATTTGATATATAAACCAACCATTAAAGATTGTAAAGCGTCATAAAAAGATCGCTTTAGTAACTCATTAATCACTTATAATGGATCATTAAAGACCCAATAACATTAAATAACATAAATGATGTATTAAAACTCAAATAGGGAGAAATGGACCAATGGGGCCATTAATTGGTCCTTTACTTCTCGCCAGAGGAAGATGGATTGCAGGGACCGCTAGACCAACAGTCGCCGAAGGCATGTGTTTCCAGTCGGTGGAGGAGCTGCTCAGCTGGCCGCCACGGATCATTAAACCACGAGTTCATTCACAATTCAAGAAATTGCGAATTCAGCTACTGATCATCATCATCGCTACGCTATTGAGAATTTAGAAATTGCGAACTCAGCTACTGATTATCATCATAGCTACGCTATTGAGAATCAAGAAATTGCGAAAATCAGCTACTGATCATCATCGCTACGCTACTCAGAATTAATATCTGCATTTCCGGATCTATACTCAATTCAGGAACGATTTCAAAGAAACGAACCTGCACAGATCGACTCCAGAGAGGAACGCGCGCCGGCAGAGCTTGCGTTCGCGCGACGCCTGGAGCAGAGAGTAGGGAGAGACGCCATCCTAGTTCACTTCAACGGGAATCCAAACAGCAGCGGCTACTTCACCAGTTGATAATAGCATTTGCTGCCGCCGGTGATGAACGATTCCAAAACGACGGTGCAGCACTTAGCGGAGAGTCGGTGGCGGCGGACTCTGTTCGATGGTGCGGAAACTCAAAGACTTGTTTGTGTATCATTAGTTATGTACCAAAACAATCAAAAATCATGCCTATTTAGAGGGCTCAAGATAGGGTGCATGCACCCATCAATAACCAAATCTGGACCCTTCATTTAGAAAATCCAGATGTAAAGATGAATAATTAAAGGTCATTTTTATTTCCTAACTTTCTTAATTGACTCATATCTTTTTCGTTTTAATTTGGATTTTAATTTTTTTTGCACAGATGGAACGAGTTCATCGTGCTCAACAAAATTTGATCAATTTTCAACATTTTTTGAGAAAAAAAAATTATGGCCTCTCGGTACCAACTGCATACCATATGTTATCTTCTTCGTTTTTAATTCGTTTTCGAAAGCGTTTGCACAACAGGGACAAGTTCATCATGATCTATTGGATCTACGAATTTCTGGGTGAACAAATTACAAGACCAAAAAATACCACACAATACCATACAATACCACCCTCGTACGGGGTGGTATCTTATGGTATACAATGTTAAAAATTATAAATGACAATTAGTATACTCTACTATCATGTATTTAACCATCCTACAGTTTTGGTTTATGTCATACCACCATGGTACGCTTTTCAAACCATAGGTATGCTCTTATTTCAATACCACTCAATACCATATGGTATATAGACTGGTAAAAAATGGCTCAATTTTTTTTGTTCTAAAAATATATCAAAGTGGATATCATTTTGAAGAGCACAATTAATCTTATCTAACTGTGCAAAAAAATTAAATTTTGACTTAAAACGAGTGAGAAATCACCCGTCAAAGATTAAGGAGAGGAAATTTAAAGGCTTTTCAGGAGAGAGAGAGAGAAGATGCTGATGTCATGCTGATGTGGGCGGGTTACTCATGGTTACTCACCATAAGGTTACTGACCTGATTCATTCCCCATTTAGAGTATGTAAGCAATACTCATACCCTACACAAACCCATCTACAAAACCCAAATCTATATAGCTTAGTTTGGCCCTGCTGTAGTTTTTACAGAAGCAGCTTCTGGCTAGAGCTTTTAGATAAGTACTTTTCAAAAAAAGCAATTGAGTGTTTGGCTGTAAAACTATTAGAAGATTTTTTTAATATGAGAGGTTGTGTAAAATGACTATAAAGGATTTATAATATAAAATATGAATAAAAATTCCAAACAATAAAAAGTAGTCAAAATAGATCTTGTTCAATTTTTGTATATTAAATAATATGATTTTATAATTTATTTTATTTTTAAAATGATATAAATGAAGGAAAGTTATATTTTCTGAAATAAAATTAAAATATGGTAAGGATAATTTTGTATTTTCAAAACAGTTTTTCGCAGAAACTCCAATTTGGAGCTTCTGCTTTTATGTTATACAAAAGCGCTTTTCGACTTTCAAAAGCCGAGCTCTTATAGGTGTTTGGCCCTGCTTCAGCTTTTAAAACCAAAAAGCACTTCTAAAAGTTAGGTCAAACATAGGAATAGACTTCAACTATATCCTTATTACCAAAACCTTCAGTTTGTTCTTGGTCTTCTGTTCATCACAACTAGAATGAATGGTAGTGAATAGCGATGGATAGCCACTAAAATTGGACCTATTGGTAAAATTGAAAAAGTTTAGGTATCAAAATGTAAGACACAATTTTTAGGTACTGAAACATAATTCTAATGTTTTGCGGACTTATATATATGCAAAAAAAATTAAAGTACTAAATATAAAGATCTATTAAGTTTAAGTACGAAACTATAATTTGCATATGGGTATGGGTTAAAACCCAAATCAATGGATTAAAACCTAACCCAACCAAATAAATGGGAATGTGTATAAACTCTATCATTTTACCTTATATTTGGGATCATACCCAACCCAGTTGAGTTGGATAAGAAAATACACATGGATTTGGGCAAAATTGTCATCCCTAATGGATGGTAATAATCAAGTTTGTGGCGGGTTTTCTAAATCATTCTCATTTCTATTTTTAGAAACTCAAATTCATATCCGCCTCATATTCATGCGAGGAGGATTTGCGATCCCAACTAGTGATGGCAATTTCAACCCGCCCCGCGGGTATTACCCGACCTGACCCGTGATGGGGCGGGTATTACCTGACCCGCAGTAGCGTGGGGCGGGGCATGGGTATCTACTTCCGACCCGCCCTGCCCCGCCCCGCCCCGTTCTAGACTCATTTTATCTCAATTTCTTACAATATCTATACATATTTCTCCTATTTTGACTTTTCTTCAACTAGTTAGAGTCGATCTTTCAACTTGTTAGGCTCAATTATCCATTCTATTATCAATATTTTTAATTCTTAAAGTGTTTTTACCTACGTTTTATTGTA